AGACCAACTGGTTTCAGCAGCACCAGCAGTCCCAACTGTCATCAGTTTGCCTTCTCCCCTCCCACCATAAAATACTCTTAGAGGAAAAACAGGACAAACGACAAGCCACACCGTTAACACTTCTGCCTGCTTTTGTAACAAGGACAGGGACCTGAGCACAAACTCACAGCTAACAGGAGAGAGTCAGCAGCGGACAATGGGACAACGCGATGGGAGCGCAGATGCAGGGCGAGGCAAATGCCAAATTCAACAGCCCCAACTTCCCTGAACGGGATGCTGCTTAAAATAAAGGGAAAGGCAACATCAGCACCATGTCTCAGAAGAGGCCAAGACACACAGACAAGAAGATCACCAGGCAAGATACGGCGAGATGCCTGCGCGGGAACCCAAGCCTGTCGACTGGTGGTCTGAGGATGTGCCCTGAGTATCCGAGCACATTATGACCTGGTGATACAAAAGGCCACAGTCTGCAACCCCACAAAACCAGGATTGGTTCTGAGATGGCCCAGGTGTTCACATGTCCTCAGCTCTCAGTCCTACCCCATCAATCCCAACCCCACTTCCCCAAACAGGGGCTGCTGTCGCTGTCTTACACCAGGGCAGAGCTGCCATCGCACCACCTCCCCAGTACAGAGCATCTTCAGTTTTTATTCTCTTCATAGGGAACTGGCCTAACACAGAAATCACCACATTTCTCTGGAAATAGAGCTATCATCCATCTCAACACCATCCAAACTAAGGAAGCTGGGGGCTGCAAATCTGTGAGAAAACAGTGAGAGAGATCTGTCTTGCCTGGGCCAGGCTATAAAAATATTTGGGCTACACAGGAAAATCCACAGTGGTAGATTTCAAGATATCATATTAAGTCCAGGAAAGGTTTATCAACATGATCATCAAAAGGATGCTGTTGTACAGCAGTCTCTCATTATGACTGTACATTTGCTCTTTGACTTCTCCGAAGGGTGAAGCAGCCTTGACTGTCCCTTTGCATCTCCATGGTTTTAATTCCCAAAATAGGGACAAGTGAGCTGTGGAATCCATGCTGATATACGAGGTCTTGCAAAATGCCTCAGTAGAGATCACCCTCCACTCTCCACAGAATCACAGACTACCAGGTTGGGAGGGACCTCAAGGATCAGCTGGTCCAACCTCTCTTGGTAAAAGCACGGTGCAGAGAAGATGGCCCAGCACCCTGCCCAGCTGAATCTTAAACACGTCCAGTGCTGGGGAATCCGCCACTTCCCTGGGGAGATTATTCCAATGGCCAATTGTTCTCATTGTGAAAAATTCTCCTTTTGTGTCCAACTGGACTCTCCCCAGGAGTAACCTGTACCCATTACCCGCTGTCTTTTCCATTTGAGTCCTTGCAAAAAGGGAGTCTCCATCTCCTTTGCAGCCACCCTTTAAACACTGGAACATGATGCATTCCATGAGAACACATCCACAAGAGCTCCCTGCCCAGAACTATTGGCAAGCTGCGTCCCATCTGCGTGGGACAGATGAGGAGTGATAACCAGCTGTACAAGATAAACTGCTTCGGAGCTCAGCTGACAGCAGACAACTAACCAATGAAATTAAATTTTGACAAGTAAAGGTCATTGCAAGCTGGATCTTTTAAGGAGCTCAACAGCAACAAAAATCAAAAGGACACTGATGCATTCTGCAGTCACAAATTCACAGTATTGAAGCCCATCTACCTGCTGCACTCAGTGATCTTGAAAACTGAATGCATCGTCTATTTTAATAAGTCATTCTGCTCTTTGGCAAGATCACTTGGACTTGTTTAGAGCCATCTTTGGGCCCAATTTGCAACCAGACTAAGTACAAGAGCTTCAGCCTTGGGTAGAGTACTTGACAGTACCACTGACATTTCTTCGGCCATTGATTTCAATCTCATATTTGACTGACAGATCGGATGCAAATTGTCTTGGCTTTCAAGATCCTTTTTCTACTTTTGGAAATCATCCAAAAGTAGAATTTGGGGAACTGGGGAAAGATGAAAAGAAGCTGGAATTGCACTGCAGAATGAGTATCAAGCCTGGACTTATTGTTTAGAGAAAAACCACAAAAACTCATAGCATGCTACAAGTATCTTGCTGGATGGCACACAAATCTAACGTAGGGAAACATGGGGGCACTGGGCATGAGAGATCTTCCCAGAAACCATATGGGTTTGGTCACAGACTGAATTCTCAAACTTCAGATACTTGCTGGCTCCTAGATGGTGAAAAGCCATTGGGACCATTCTTCATTGAAGTGTGAAAGCCCAACCGTGGATGCAGCTATTGCACCTCTTCATTTACATGGTGCACCAGTGGTGGTACCTGTCTGTATGAACACAAAGAACAGACAGCAGTGCGTCCCAGCACCAGGACCCAAACTTCTCCTGCTTGCCCGTTCTCAGCCTGGCATAAGGAGTTGAGGCTCTCCCATTCTCCCTTGTGGCTCTATTCCATGTGGGGCCATCTCAGCTGGTCTCTTAATATCGCCTTTCTGTGAGAGGGTGTTAATGCTGACAGCTTCGGTGTAGGAAAGATCCAGTGACTGCAGAGACAAGGTGACAGTATTAATTTGCACTATGCTTCTGCAATGTCTAATCACCAGCGGTGAAGCCTGAGAGCTGAGCAGTGCAGGCTCTTGCAGCTCCTTTTTGGAAGTGTCTTGTCCTCTGGGTCAAAGCTGACACATGAACTCTACAAGCAGATATCACTGATGTCACGTAAAGCCTGTACTTGCAGGTCCCAGAGGAAACTGACCATCAGGAAGAGCATGCACCCAAGTCAAAGCAACATCTCACTGCGAGGGAGGCACTGCTGCCACAGAAAAACCAAGACTAAATCCCTAATTGCTTAGAGACTCAAAGCCTTGCTGGAACACTATGATCAGGTGCCCCCTTTGCTCTTTTTCTTAAATAAAGCAGAGGAGCAAGAGGGGAAAGCACAGGCAGCCAAAGTAAGAACTCACCACGAATAAAGAGGGCACTGAGGAAACGTGACAGTAGTTGCATGCTCCACACACTCATCGAGGAGCCTGTGTGGCCCCAAAACACACTGCTATCCAAAAACAAGTCAGGCAGAACCCCTTCCAACATCTGTTCAAGGAGGAATCATCAGCTGGATGGATAAAGCAGGCAGAAAACAAGCTGACAGAGCTAATGTAAGTTAGAAAACTCAACAAACAACTCTCATGGGCTCCAAACCAGAGATTAATAGACACACTCATTAGCTCTCCACATCCTATCTACCTGATAGCACCAGCTGTACCAACCAGATCCTCTACCAGGAATTCACCTCTGTCCCCAACGCTCTGAAACATTTAACAAGACTTACCTCTGCTCCCCTGCTGGCATATTCTTTGTCTGCTGAAGGAAAGCCAGTTATCCCACCCATTCCCACAAACTGCTCAACCAGAGCAATCAGAATGGATACCCAAGAAAACAGAAATACCAGAAGTAAACCATATCTTCAGCTGTATTCTACTGCTCTTCAAATTACGAACTTCACTGTATACGGAGTTCTTCCTGTACCCACATCAGTACATTTTTCTCTCTTTTTCCAAAAGAATCTGTCATCTGCTCCCCCTCTCCAGGAAAAAATGTTTCTTGCCATTTCCAGCAGCTTTCTTGTAGAATCCTGTCTAGTTCAAATAAATCCTGACACAGAGGCTGAGTACAGGATCTGAATATCCTTCCTTGCTCTTAAGCCCCGTACCACCTCTCTCCCTCCTCATCCCAATTTACAGAAATCCAGCAAGACGCATCTCGTTTATGCAAAGCCTCAAGCCCTCCAGAGCAAAGTGCTAGAGCCTGTACTACAGAAACAGCAAGTCCCCAAGGAATCAGCAAGAACGACCAGACAGGAGACTCCTGAAGCCAACAGACACTCACGTGGGGAGAGTCTTTAGCAGGTTCTCACGTAGCTCCAAAGTCACCAGGTTTGCCAAACTGCAAGAGAAAGGGAGCAAGAAAGCCAGATTCACTGACCAGGGCTTGAGGACACAAGGAGATGCTCTTACCCCTTCCCTTGGGACCACCCCTCGTGGCCTGCACAAACACATGTACATGTGAATGGAGACAACAGGGGAAAACAAAAAATAAAGAGGATCTTAAATGACTTCTTATGAAAATGACTGCTTATTGCAAAATCATGGGGAAACAACACTGTGCCCAAGCTCGGGACAAGGAAACATGGTATCACATACAGGACTGGCTTCCCAAAAAGACAAAATCCCTCACGCGTGGAAAGCCAAATCCCATGGAGGGGCACTGCACCCCACGGACAAAGCCACACAGGCTCTGCCTTGGCCATTTGCTAGCAGCATAAATCATTTCAACATCACTGGACAGACCACACCTGTTTGGAAAGGGGCAAACGGCACTCGTAAAATAAGGGAAGATAGGAGGATTTGAGAAGCCTGGACGCACTCCTTGACTGTGCCACAGACCACAGAGGAGGAGGAGCAGCTGAGAACACGAAAGGAACCTTTTTAAAAGGGTTGGCTTTTAACAAGAATAATGCTTAGAGGTGCTCACACAGTATGTTCAGTACAGGGGCAAGCTGTAACTGGGA